AGACTTTTTTTTTTACTTTATGTATATATTATGCTTGCATGACCAATATGATTCTATAACATGTACACTCAGAAAAATGTGAAATTATACCCCATCTATGTATGATATATCAAAGTTTATAAATGCATCCTGTAATGTATAACTCATAAAAACAAATAAATAAAAAAGAAAAAGAAAATCATAAAGCAAAATTCCAGAAAGTAAAAAAGCCTAGGCAACTGGACACAACTGTGTATGGCAACTTGGTATGCAGTGTCCACAAAGGTTGGGTCATAACAGGATATGTATATACTGCGCATAGTCTCTCATGGGCCTCATGGTAGCAGTAGGTGGTAGACATAAAACAGGAGTGAAGGCAAGATGGGGAACAAAAGAGAAGGGAATAGATTTGGGTTCCACCAGAAGCTAGCAGTCATCATTTCTGTCACAATTATCCTAGTCACCATTTCCACATCTGCACAATTTTGCTCTCTTCAATGTTCCCATTTTTTTTTGAAATCAAATGAGTTATTTTGACTTCAATTAAAGAAATTTATATGCAGCATGTCAAATCTTTTAAAATTATAGCTTTGAATGTAGCTGACCCAAAGACAAAGATGTTGTTTTATTTTGCCATTTAGAGAATATTCCTGTTCAAATTTAACCTGACTTCTGAATTTTAGTTAGTGACCTGGGTTATTGAATTTCCTTTGAGATGACTTTGGAATTAATGGAGCAAATTATATATATATATATATATTTTCTAGTGCTGAGGATTGAGCCTGGGGCCTTATACATACCAGCAAGCACTTCTGGTACTGAGCTACTCTTTCAGCCCAAGAGACACTTTTAAATGTTGTTAATTTGGTAATTTGAACTTTCAGTTTCCTAGTGTACCTAAGTATGACATTAGTTTAATTTATACACTTTAAAAAACTTAACAACTTAGGACATATTTAAGAATAGATTTTAATCTGTTACAATCCTATCTTGTTAGGTTTATAGTAAAGTAAGGACTAGTCAATTTTGTAAGTCAGTCTCCTAAAACCCTCCCAAAATTAGAAAAAGAAATATTTCTATATGAAGTGTGTATGTGTTGTGTGTGTATGTGAAACAACTTTAACTTTAAATATTATAAAATTGTTCAGTAAGAGTATGGTTCACTTTGGGCTACTATACCCAACTATTTCTAGAAAAGGAGGTTTTTGGTTTTCAAAGTTACAGAAACCGTAGATTACTTAACTAAAAAGAACTTCTAGAATGGCTCTTAGGGTCTCTTCCCTGTATTTCACAGCACTCAAGAAGAAGAGCTCTTCTCTGCTACTGTTCAAGCCTCATCTTTTAACCACTTTAAAAATTTTGAAACCTGTCTGTTAATTTTCCCTCTCACAAATCTCATTAATGTTATTTAAAGACCTTAAGTATTCTTTATATTCCTAGAAAATTTCAATAAATGACTGAAATTTCCTTTCTCTTATATCTTGAAGCTCTTCAACATCTGCACTAATGACCTAGATCCTGCTTACCCATCTCCAATGTCTCTTAACTTTATTTCTCTTCAGTTGACTATAGAGATGGCCATACATTGTCATTTGCAACTACTCACCTCTAAATATTTGAACTCTGAAATTCTCCTTTTGGATCACAGTTTTGCTTTGAGTCATTAAGCTGTCATTCAACCACTTAGCAAAGGTTTGTTGAGTGCTTGTCACATGTTGAACTGTACAGTGTTCCCTTTTAACAGCCCTCCATTCCTCTACCTTATAACTTCTAGCTCCTTGATATTCTGATTTTTACTTTATGTGCTTTGCTAGTTTATTTTTTATTGATTTATCAATTTATTTGACAAAGATGAGAAACACTAAATGAATATAAGGATATATTAATAAAAATTACCAGAATTTAAACATGCACAGAAATAGAAAAAAGGAATTAAAAGTGAAGAACACAAAGAAAAATAAAACACAGGATTTAAAACCTGGAGTACTGCAGCATATTGTATGGCAGTGACATAAATTATTATCAAAGTGATTATCAAAAATCAAAAGATAATAAGTATTGGTGAATGTGGATTAATGATAACACTAAAACACTGTTACAAATGTAAATGGCACAGTCATTATGGAAAACAGCATAGAAATTCCTGAAAAATTAGAACTAGAGCTACCATTGGATCCAGCAAATCTATGTAAGGTCAGGCAGCAGCGACCAAAAGGAGGCAGATTTTAAAAGGCCACTGAGCGAGGCTTTATTGAGATTTCGCTCCCAGGCAGAACTCTTAGACTGACAGAGTGGGTCTAAGTAGAAGCGCTGGGGGATCCACGGGACTGGAATTCTTATTGGGCTTAGAGTCCCTTGGCCTACTGGAGTTGGTGATGGTGGTGGTGGTGGGAGCTGGCTAAGATCCAGGATTGGCCTGGGGAACCTGCTGATTGACAGGCAGTTCTGTCAGTGCCTGATCGGTGTTTCTTTCACGCTCTTGTGTTGCTTGGTGCTTTGTTCCTCAGCCGCCTCCACCTAACCATCTACTTCTGTGTATTTATTTGTTCATTTTAATTAATTTATTTAGTATAATTAGGTATATATGAAGGCAGAATGCATTTTTATTCATTGTACACAATTGCAGCACAACTTTTCATTTCTCTGGTTGTACACCATGTAGCATTGCATCATATGTGCAGTCATACATGTACCTAGAAGAATGATGTTCATCTCATTCCACCATCTTTCCTGCCCCCATGACCCTTTCTCACTCACTCCTCTTTGTCCAATCAAAGTTCCTCCATTTTTTTCCCATGCCCCCCTCGCCCCATGATGGATCAACATCCACTTATCAGAGAGAACATTCGGTCTTTGGTTTTATGGGATTGACTTACTTTTCTTTGCATGATATTCTCCAACTCCATCCATTTACCTGCAAATGCCATAATTTTATTCTCTTTTAATGCTGAGTAATAGTCCATTGTGTATACATACCACAGTTTCTTTATCCATTCATCTATTGAAGGGCATCCAGATTGGTTCCACAGTTTTATTTGCTTTCCTATTTTATTGTAGATCGTTTCAGTTGCTCTTTAACCAGCACCTTTAATCCTTTTTTTTTACTTGAACCTCACTTCATTTGACCTCTTCTAGTATTGTGTGTCTTCTCTATGGATTTGGTACAATTCAATAGTGGTTTATGGGATCTATTCTGCCAAGAACAGTTGGAGATTCACAGATGAATAAGTTATAGTCTTTTCCCTCAAGCATCTGAGCCCAGAAGAGAGGACACATAAGTACTTAATTGCAGTATAGGGTGCTGGACATAGAACATATGATCTTAGGAGGAAAGCAAAAGCTTCCTAGAGGAGGAGAAATCCATGTTAGTTTTTAATTTTTTAAAAACCGGAATTTATCAAGCAGGCAAAATGTACAATAGGCTCAATATTCAAGATTGATGGAGCAATATGTATAATGATATGGAATGGTAGACCTGCAAGATTAAAGGAAATTATAGAAAATTTGGTATTTGAGTATAAAGTTTGAAAGGCAATTCATGGAAGATAAGCATAAAAGATTGTATAGGCAGTCACTGGAGATCTCACTTGTAATATGTAGCTCTGTTGTAGCGTTTATCATACTGTATTCCACAGTGATTTTTCATCTTCATGTCACTACCAAGTGGGCTCCTTCAGGGCAGGCATTGGCCCTTATTCATTAATCTTTGCACACATAACACCTAAGCAAGCGTCTAAAACATAGTAGATACTCAGTAAATGCTTGTGTAATTAGTGTGGACTCTTTAAAACTTTTTAAAGATTTTTAAAATTCGGGCTCAGTGGCACACAACTGTAATCCCAGCTACTTGGGAGGTTGACACAAGAGGATTGCAAGCTCAAAGGGAGCCTGTGCAAAATAATATAAAAGGGTTTGGGATGTTGCTTAGAGGCAGAACACTCCTGGGTTCAGTCCCTGCTATCACATACACACACACACACACTATATATATATATATATATATATATATATATATATATATATATATATATATATATATATATATTTCTGAGTTGAGTCTAGACATTGTAAGAACCTTTTTAAAAATATTTTTTTAGTTGTTCATGGACTTTTCTTATTTATTTATTTATTTATTTATATGTGGTGCTGAGAATTGAACCCAGTGCCTTACACATGCTAGGCAAGCACTCTACCGCTGAGCCACAACCCCAGCCCCAAATAGACATTCTTAGACACTCTATTTTTAAACCTGATGTTCAGGATATGGCATATCTAGTACATAAAAATTTTACAAATAAAATGTTATCAGATTTCTTCTCAGATATAAATATTATTGATAGACAAGACCAATGGGTAGAACAGAATAGATGTCTACGGCAGGTTGGTTAAAAGTTCTTTGTATATCTTCCCATTTACTCATATCCCCTTCCTGTACCTCCTCCAGAACGTAGGACACCACATGAAGATATTTTATGACAAAAGGGATAATTAGAAGACTCATAAAACTCTGTAGCTCAGTTAGGGAGGGCAAGAGGTCTGCTTGGTATCTAGAGTAGAAGACTAATAATAGTCAAAATTTCAGTTCTTGTGTATTCTAGCCTCTTGTTTCCAAACAGGCAATTTGGAGCTGGGGCAGAATGTCTGCCTTGCATACACAAGGCCCTGGTTTGATGTCTAGTTCTACCAGCAAAAGAGCAGAGGGAGGCATTTCAAATAACTGGGGAAAGTAGAAAATGTTGTGAATATAAAGGAAAAAAAGGAGTCTTATAACCTTGACTCAATCATTATAGTACCTAGTACATCTTCAGAATTTTGTCAGCTAAGAGAAATTGGCAAATTGCTAACCACCAATGAAAAAATAGAAAAAGAAAACCCAAATTCTTTTGGGTAACACATTGCTTTGTCTTTAGTAGTCTAAAGCTTTTTTGCCTTCTCTTGCTGCTTTTTAAACGCCTTTGCTGAGGATGCTAACCACTGTGGTTTCTCCCAATGTCCTCTCATTCCTTCCCATCCTCCCTTAGTATATTTTTGCCACATATGTTGCTCCATCGGCCACTCTTGACATTGGACTGCAGCAGGAAAAGAAGAGAGACATTTACAAGAAAATACAACCACCATTTGAAGACCTCTTTGACACAGCAGAAGAGTACATCCTCCTCCTCCTTCTGGAGCCCTGGACCAAGATGATGAGGTCAGACCAAGCTACTTACAGAGAGGTATTGTGGCTCTGATAAAGGTGTGCACCTTTCCACTTTACTACACAACTAATGATAAGCAATACCGCTAACTCACAAGAGAAAAACTGAAAAAAAGAACTCACATGGGCCCCAGATATAGAGTTAAGATTTGTGTGGGTCAAAAGTTTATTTATTTATAAAAATAAAATAAAAATATTTTATGCCATTTTCCTATTGTCTCCTAACAAAAATACTAAAATCTCTGTCATTTTTTGTTCCCTGTACAAATACGTCAGTAGAGAGAAATTTGAGTTCTGATTTTCTGTGAAGCAGCAAAAGATCCATGGTAACATACTAGTTAGTATATACTAATGTCCTATCTTGTTATGTTTCAGCAGTGGCCTTAATTCTGATTAAGGGAAAAAGCCTGTTTCATTTAATGTTCGATGAGTTATATGAATATTATACCCATGGAAAGTATAAATGTTTCCTATGTATTGTGAAAAGCAGGTCCTTTGACTTCAGTGCTTCTATTTTAAAGCATCCCCAGATATTTAGGTCAGAGTGTTTTGTTAGATAAAAATTTCAACACACTTGTTTTTCATTCCAAAAAAAAAAAAAGATTATTTTAATTTTTGGTGCTTGAACATTTTCATTTTTCTTATTGGTGAGTGGAGGAATTTTCTTTAAATATTTATTTTGAATCACAAATTAAAACCATGCTTAGATATTCTTATGTTAAGTTAATCATGCATTGTATGCTTGAGGTGATTTAAGGTGGAACTCTGCTTTTTACTGCTATTCTTTATTCATATTCACTCAGCAACTTGTTAGATAGTCATGTCTTCAATCAGGAGGGGTAAGTTAGGTGATGATGGTAAAATTAATACCAAAGCACCTTGAATGGCACTATACTGGACAAGCTTGAGATTTACTAAATTCAACAACGAAAATAGATTTTCACTCCTGATTTCTCTCTTTTTTTCACTCCTGATTTTTCTCTGAAAAATTAGCATAACATCTTTTCTACTACAGAAATATATATACTAACTAGGAAAATCAGAAGATTATAAAATCTAAAAAACTTCTCTCTAATCAATTTTTAAAATCTTTACTCTATTGGGTAGAGGAAGGGTATTGTATAGGATATCCTGCAGTGGTAAAAAAGATTTGGAATATAACTAACTTCCCCAAACCCCAAATCTTCGACATTAGCAATGATACAGGACAAATTACGTACTGGTTTTTATTTATATATATATTTGTAGTTGTAGATGGACAGAATGCCTTTATTTTATTTGTTTGTTTTTATGTGGTTCTGAGGATCAAACCCAGTGCCTCACATGTGCTAGGCAAGCACTCTGCCACTGAGCTATAGCCCCAGCCCTACATACTATTTTTAATATATGGAAAAAATGAATCTCTTTCTTAGTCCTAGAAACTTTCTTAAATTTAGTCCAGAGAACTTCTCTAAAAGCCCAGATGACTCTTATTATGTAGACTCTTTCCTAAAAAGGATACTCAAGCAGACTACCCAAGCTTTCTATTAAATTCAGAAAGTTCTCTAGCAACTAGTTAGCCAAACCAGGTTTTCCCTGCAATAGAGACACAGTGATCTTGTTCTTCTGACTACATAGAATCGTGCTCTGAATACTGAGACCTGCTATGAAAATTAATTTAATGATTGTCTTATCTTTTGCTACAACAATAAAGCCTTTGCTCCCAGACTAATAACAATATGGAGTCCAGTCATTTCTTGTTCTCTTGTGAATTATTTGGTTCCTAAAGCTAGCAGTGTCTGCCTTCATGACTATTATCCTGTTACATTGAATATAAACTCGAAATGTGACCAACATATTTACATTGTTTGTTAGTCTACATGGGGTGTTCAAAAAGGAGGCATGATCATCAACAGCCTTATATCATTACATAAAAATGTCTGCAGTTTTTATTGCATGCATGTGAAGTGTGATTTTGCTGTAGCTAATATTTTTAACTATGTTAATCTTCCACTTTTGCCTCCAAAATAACTTGCTTTGTTGGCACTCATCCTTGTTTTTTAGCTCACTGTTTTTGGAAATTGAGCATTGTGCTCCACACTCTTTCATAATGTACATTCTGTTGATGTTACAAGCTTTGTAATTATTATTTTTTTAGGTGGAACTGGTGGAAGAAACTCGGCAGCTAGACTCTTCATGCTTCCGAAAGCTACGGGCTTTGCATAAAGAGACCCTTCACAAGAAAGACGAGGTAAGATAACTCTCTACATAGAAAAACTAGCCTTTTATCCTTGAGAGGGTTACTTTATATGTTGGTGGCTAGATCTTACCTTGAGGAGATCATGTACTGATAAAATGAGGACAGGCCACATCATTTTCCTGCTGGTTTTTTTGTTTGTTTGTTTGTTTGTTTGCCTAGCACATTGCATTTTACAGGTATCACATTATATTTAACAAAAGAGCCAGAAAAACAAAGCAGATAAAGTAGAATAGGGAGACAAGCCATTTGTTTGACTTAGCTAAGACTGGAAACTTGAGCTTTTAAGCGACATTACAGTACTTTGAAGTATATTGTTTTTTTTTTTTTGTTGTTGTTGTTTTGTATTTGCTCAACATAAGAAATGGTAGTGTGACAGCAATAGACAAACAACAAAGAAAAAATATGAAAAGGAATTGGGGAAATTGGTTAAAAATGTCATAGAATTGACTAGGGTATTAAAGTGTTATTTTACCTTATAAATATGCAACTTTTGCATTGGCTAAATAAACCATGATAGATCCACACAATCATAAATTTAAATGTGTGCATCTACATAGAAATGATACTTAATTGACCTAGAAAAGGTCAAGGACATATTATAATATTAAAATGTATGGATCAAAAACAATGGTATGGACTGATCCTATTGATGTAAAATCATATATGCATTTCTACATGTATACATGCATACATGCAAAAAGAGATGTCTGGAAAGATATTCACCAAAATGTTAACAATAGTTTTGAGTGGTGATTTTTCTTTTTTTTTTTTTTTTTTTTTTAGTGGTGATTTTTCACTTTCTTCTCTGTATCTACCTACAATTTTTATTCTTATACAATAAAGTTTTACAAAAACAAAAAGTTATTTTAAAATGTAAACTTTATAATAGTTGCTTTAGTAAATTAGAAGTTCTCTATTTGAGACATTACTGTTTATTATTTTTCTATGCTGAAAAATTTTATTTCTTGAGTTTAAGCAATGGAAGTCAATAATGAAAATGACAATACTGAAACAATAAAAAATCGAAATTATCTGAAGAATAACTGTACAGTTTATATATATGTGTCAACTGCCTCTGTGTGTTAAATTTCTTTATTGGCTTTCTAATAAAGCATTCCTCTGTGGTTGTTTAAATCCCTCCATCCCAACTCTCAAAGATGAAAAATTGTTTTAACAAATTTTCATCTTTGTTTGTAGGAAGAATCCCAGTTTGGCATCTTTCATGTTCTGAGTATTTTCAAACATTTTCATCTAAACATTTTATCTAAATGTTTTATCAAACATTTTTATTCAGCTCTGCATTCAGTTATGATACTTGATAACTTTTTCCTTAAAGTGCTTCTCTTAGGACAGAAAATACACTCACAAATCCTTTTGGAGACTTGTTTCATATAGGTGATAATTTGCTGTAACCAGTAGAGCCCCAAGTACTTTTTTATGTACTAAGAAAAAAAAAAACAAACAACAAAAAACACCCCTCAAACCAAAATAAACACCTGTTGTTCCCAACAGCCAGAGTGGTTTTTGTAAACATTTTCTCATGGTTGCCTCTAGTCCTTTGATTTTTATGAAAGAAATAAAATGTCCCCAGTTCTCTTTAATAAAATTTTACACATATAAACTAAGAACAAAGAACTGTTTTGACATTGTAGAGTTCTAAGAAAGAGAGGCTCAAATTAAACAAATAGTAAGTGCCACTGCATATATGGCCCCCCAAAATTCCACCAGAAAACTTCTAGAACTCATAAATGAATTCAGCAAAGTAGCAGGATATAAAATTAACACACATAAATTAGATTTGTTCCTATATATTAGTGGTGAATCTACTGAAAGAGAAATTAGGAAAACTGCCCCATTCACAATAGCTTCAAAAAAAAAAAAGAAAAGAAAAAACAACTTAGGAATCAAACCTTAGAAGATGGAAAGATCTCCCATGCTCTTAGATAGGCAGAATTAGTATTGTCAAATTTACAGATTTAATGCAATTCCTATTAAAATCCCAATGACATTCTTCATAGAACTAGGAAATGCAATCATGAAATTCAGTTGGAAAAATAAGGGACCTAGAATACTGATTACTATCTTGTGAAGTATACATAAAAATCCATAAAGTTGTCACATTTTAAAGTTTTATTTTAAACTTCATGAACTAAAAATTGTTAACACTTTCCATAATCCTTCTACAGAAAGAGAGTTAATTCTTTAAATATTAGTAATTTATCTCATGGTCAAACACTTTCAATAGCACATATGAAGATAATTAATTATGTAAGTAATTATATGAAGAAGGAATTTTCGAAGAATAAGCCTGTCTCTTTGCACTTTATAGCTTGTAAACTATCCACAAAACAACAGATGTCTTAAAATTACCTAAAAATGTAACTTTTATAGGAAGGTGATTACATTAGAAGGATGCACTATTAGACAAGTATCTTTTATTGCTTTGTAACTTTTAAAAATTGTGTTATAGAAGAGTGTTTTATGTTCATGATGTATTGTTTAGAAAAAGAACCAAGTTACAACCTTCATTTTTGTTTGTTTGTTTGTTTGTTTGTGGTGCTGGGGATTGAGCCCAGGGCCTAGTGCATGCAAGGCAAGCACTGTACCAACTGAGCTGTATCCCCAGCCCACAACCTTCATTTTTAATAAACTACATGTAATATACAAAAAAGACTGGAATGATACAAAAGCATATTAATGGTGGCTATCTCTAATGTTATTACTATTGGTGATTTTTTTTCTTTTTACTCCAAAAGACATTACTTCTATACCAAGAAAGTATAATAAAATTAATATTTTAAAATAAGTGCTTTGTATATAGTGAATGTTTACTAAATATTCATATTAAGAAAAGAATGGAGTAAAAAGGAACAGAATAAGAATCTGAATCACCTAGATACTTTATCTACTTCTACCACTACTAAAAAGCCTCGGCTTAATTGTTGATTTTTCTTTCAATTTCTCCAATGAAAATTGCCAATAGTTTGTTGCATTTAAGAGATTTTTATGCGAAGTATTATGTCACTAGGGCACCACTGGTGAAACTGGAACTAGTGTTTTATCACTCTCTAATGTCTATAAAGAAACAGAATATTGGAATAATGTTCCTGAAGAATACAAGCATTTTCGTTTTAATGATCTGCTGAACAACAAACTGGAGTTTGAACATTTTCGTCAGTTTCTTGAGGCTCATTCTTCAAGGTGAGGAACCAGCACCATTTTTAAATGTATTCCTTACTTAACACATCATTTTTCTTAGCCACTGGTTTTGATTCAACATATTATAATAGTGCTAGATTTTTACCCATGTCACTAAAGACTGTTAAGCATAATTATCTGAAATTTGTATGGATTACTTTTTTGTTGGAATGCATTTTATTGTATCAAACTCCAAAATGTTATTTTAAGTGATTACACAATATTTATACTTTCAGCATTGCTTAACTTAAAACACCACTAGTACCTTCTACTTTTTCTTTTCTGCTGTTTATTTTGCATTTCTCTAGACAAGTACTTCAATTACAATTTCTGGAAAGTATTTCTTTTACATTTTTACATTTCACTAAGTTTCTTGTTTATTTTGATATCAGGGATTGAACCCAGGGGTGCTTAACCACTGAGCCACATGCCAGCCATTTTATTTTTTATTTTGAGACAGGGTTTCACTAAGTTGCTTAATGTCTTACTAAATTGCTGAGGCTAGCTTTGAACTTGTGATCCTCCTGCCTCAGCCTCCCAAACTCCTAGGATTATGGGTGTGTGCCACCATGCCCAGCTAGCTATTTAAATTACTAGACTATTTTACAATTTATTAATGGAAATAATGGGGATGGAAAAAACAAGTCTTTGGGAGTAAAAGATAAAAGAAATTCTAAAATTAAGCAGCTTTGACAAAACTATCTTGCTGTTAGTTCCCTGAGATACAAATCTGGGACATATTAGCAAAAGTGCTTGGGTATCTCAATAAGCACAACTATATAATATATAAAGGAAACATTGTGGTTTTGAACAGAATCTTGGAAACTTATAACATTTACCTGTAATAAAATGAAGTATTGATCATATTGTTTTCTCTCAAGTTAATAGAAACTGGGTGCCAAATTTCACTCTATAGAGTTGCCCTTCATTGTGCGTGAAGTTTTTTAAATTTGGCCTTCTGTCAAATGGACATGTCGTATACAGACATTTCTCCAAATTTGAAATTGATGATCCTATTCCATCATTCGTGGAAGACCCCATCACTATTGATGAGCGGTTTTTTTTTCTGGTCCCAGTATTCCTTTTCATCACTCATTTGTTTAACCAGGATTAGGATTATAATAGTCAAGATAACTGCATAGGAAGGCAAGAGGTGACAGTGTGCTCATCAGTTGCATGGTCTAGTCCATTGTGCTCATTAGCCAAGACAGCCACTTTCTGAATCTGTCAAAACAGCAACTTGTTTAGTGTTTAGTAGAATTTAGAGAAATAAACAAGAAAGGCTCTATTTTTCTTTGTTTTCATTTTAGCATGGATCTTATGTGCTGGATAGACATTGAGCAGTTCCGAAGAATAACTTACAGTGATCTAAATCAAAGGGAGGCAAAATCTGTATACATTAAAAAGAAATACCTTAATAAAAAGTATTTCTTTGGACCTAACAGCCCAGCTACTCCATATCAGCAAAACCAGGTATCAGCATGTAAATCTGTTTTTTTATTTCAAGTATGAAAAACAGTCATTTATTTCTTTTTGCCAACAACCTGAAAGTCTGTTTTTCCTTTTGTTTTGCTTTTATGGCATATGCTAAACACTTTTGGTATCTTATTTATTTAGGTATTTACAATTCTATACATTAATGCCTTTAAAATTCATTCAAGTACATACTACAAGAATATGTTACTAAAAGTAATTTACAGGTTGAAAAGAACTTGTATTCATGTAGGTCTATATTAAGGACATTGCTCAGAAAATTAGGGATACAATTACAGCTTTATACCTATTGTACTTGAATTTCTCCTTCATTCATTCATTCATCAAATATGAGTGCCTTTGATATGCCAGACTGTGCTGGGTGCTCAGGACAAAAAGGAGAACAAGATGGACAAGTTCCCTGCATCTCTCAACATTCAAGAAGACAGCCATTGTCAACCATTAAACTAATCTCTCTTTCCTCTTAATTGTTATTATTCCAATCATAATTGATCTTTGAAAATTCTGTTTACAGTTGTCCCCAGAAACCATTTTCATTGATTAAGAACATAGGTTTGACCATTTTGTTATACCAGAGTCCTACAGATTTAGTCACAACTCATTAATAACAATAGCGTTATTAGACTTACAGCAAACACACACCTTAGATTGGGATTCAGCAATGGGTATGAATGCTCAGTGATCTAAATCAAAGGGAGGCAAAATCTATATACATTAAAAACAAATACTTTAATAAAAAGTATTTCTTTGGACCCATGTCTCAACTTTTATGCCTTTAAAATATAAAAAGTTAGGTATTATAATTTATTTAGTTTGAAGTTTGTTACTTCTTCATCACTACCTAAAGATCAAATATATACCATATGATTATGTATTTTAGAAGCTTAAAAGGATGTCTGTCCTAATGGTGCACATTTATAAATTCAGATTAATGTTAAATTTATTGAATTAAAGAAAAATGAATAGACACTCATGAATAGAGTAATCCAAACAAAGAAGCTGTAGCTTTGGAGGGGTTGGAAGAAACAAGTCTTTGGGAGTAAAAGAGAGAAGAAATTCTAAAATTAAGCAGTTTTGACAAAACTGTCTTGCTGTTAGTTCCCTGAGATACAAATCTGGGACATATTAGCAAAAGTGCTTGGGTATCTCAATAAGCACAACTATGAAATAAGTACATGGAAAACATTTGTTTTCTATTTGGTTTGTGCTATATCGTGTGAGGGTTCATGTATCTGATGCTACTGTGTGAACCTTCCATAGTACATACGACTGCATGGCTATCATAGCAGAATTTTTCCAGTGACTCTGCTTCATTTTATCATAACATTTTTTTGTTTTGTTTTGTAAGTATTTTTAGTTAAGATTGACACAATATCTTTTTTATTAATTTATTTTTATGTGGTGCTGAGAATCAAACCCAGAGCCTTACTCTTGCTAGGCAAGTGGCTTTACCACTGAGCCACAACCCCAACCTCATCCCTACATTTTTAATTACTTATTTTATACTTGAGGCTGTCCAAATGATATTAAGTTTTATAAAGATCATGCCAGTCATAATATCAGTTACTTAGCACTTTGCTCTTTGATTAGCAGGGTAATCTTTTCCTTTTTTTATGTAAAAACAATATTATTATTTGATTGTTTATTATTTGATAATATTATTTATTATTAAAAAAGGACTAAGAAGTATTTCTCTTTATAATACAATATTAGTAATTTATTAGTAATTTATTAACATGACTAATCAAAGGAGAACTAAATAAAGAGGGTGAATGTTCCAGTCAGCAATCCAGAAATTTTGAGCAGTATGTAGACAGAAACAGGTAGAGGACAGATAATTTACAACAGGAAATAGCCATTAGTGGGTTGTTGAGGCCAATAATTATGCTACAGGAAAATTTGGGCCACAGAGAAATTGTTTTTGAATGGTACCACTTATGTAAGACTATTATCTGTCAAAATGGCATTTTTCTACTTCCTGTTGCCTACTTTCTTCTGAGACTTGTTAAAATGCCCTGCATGGGCTGAGGATGTGGCTCAAGTGGTAGTGCACTTGCCTGGCATGTACAGGGTGCTGGGTTCGATCCTCAGCACCACATAAAAAGAAAATAAAGATGTTGTGTCCACCAAAAACTGGAAAAAAAATATTAAAAATTCTCTCTCTCTCTTAAAAAAAAAACAAACAACGCCCTATATAACTACCACAATTGTCATCCTGCTGTCTCCATTCAAAGTTTGTAGGAAATGGAGTATTTATTTTTCTTTTTCAAAAAAGAAATGGCTCGATTTGACTAGAATTACAAATTCAGCTTAGAAGAGAACTTAGAAAGCTAACAGATGAATGCTCTCATTTTATAATTGAAGATATTGTGTCCATGGAGGGAAAAATGCCTGTGCTTGTGATAATACAGAATAAAAATCCCACCCCTGGGGCCGGGGATGGGGCTTACTGGTACAGTGCTTGCCTAGTATGTAGAAAACCCGAGGTCCAATCCCTCAGCACTGGGGGAAAAAAAAAAAAACTACCCCTGTGTTCTTCACATTTTATTTTATAGTAAGCCAAATCATACTTCTTGAACAACCACCATACAAACAACCATTCTTGGTTGACATTAAGGGAGTTGTCTGTCATTCCTTTATACATTATAGCCAGAAAACAAAAACTTTGAAAAATTGTGGTACCTGTCAAGTTTACTGCAATAGTTTGGAATGAATGAATGAATCTTAGTGTTATTTGACAAAGCACAAGTTTGTAGTTACTGTTTCATTTTTTTATTTTCTTAGATAATGCATTTAAGTGGTGGCTGGGGGAAGATTCTTCATGAGCAGCTTGATGCATCTATTCTAATTGAAATTCAGAAGCATGTCCTAAACAGGCTAGAAAATGTGTGGTTGCCATTGTTCCTTGCAAGTGAGCAGTTTGCAGCCCGTCAAAAGATTAAGGTATGAAATTTGTATATTATTTGAATAGCAATTGACAGTACCTGTCAAAACCTCACATGCTAACCTGCTGAGCCAGCCACTGTACTTGTGTGGTTCAAAGCCTGGAGTCAGACTTCTAAGATTTTAATCTCAATACTGCCACATATTAATTGTACCACTTTTAAGTTTCACAAATTTAATTTTCTCATTTGAAAAATGGAACTAACAGGGGCTGGGGCTGTAGTTCAGTGTCAGAGTGCTTGCCTAGCATGCGTGAGGCACTATGTTTGATCCTCAGCACCACATAAAAATTAAAAAAAAAAAAGCATTCTGTCCATTTACAACTACCCCTAAAAAATCTTTTTAAATAGAACTAATAATAGTAATTGCTTCATAAGGTATTTGTGAAAATGAAATAAAATTAATATGGTTAGTTTCTTAGCATGGTGCTGAGCATACAACAAACATCAAATGTTGCCTATTAATATAGTTGCTATTTAAATTTTTTTTTAGTTGTAGATGAATACAATATCTTTATTTTATTTACTTATTTTTATGTGGTGCTAAGGCTTGAACCCAGTGCCTTATATGTGCTAGGCGAGTGCTCTACTGCTGATCCACAACCACAGTCCTATAGTTGCTATTTGTCCTCACACAAATGGGCAAGGATATATAGACATCGCTGTAATACCATAGGGGAAAATAGTTGAGTTACAATAATTTCACACTATGGAAAACTATTCAGATTACCATATAAAATAAGATTATAAAAATGAGATGAAATATAAACTTGAGATTTCTACATGTGTTGATATGAAATATGTTATTTATTGACTGAAACAAGCAGAGCAATATATGGCGAATAATTCTATTATATCTATTTCCATCTCTATATCTGTATATATACATATCTGTCTGTCTATATATTTATCTTTCCATTCAACATTCGAGCTACCTACTATGATTTGGATCTGAGGTGTCCCCCAAAAGCTCCTCTGTTAATGCAGGAATGTTGGAGGCAAAATGATTGGATTATTCAGTTACAGTTGGGTGGTAATTGTAGGCCAATGGGGCTGATCTGGAGGAGGTGGGTCACTGGAGGCATGCCCTGAAAGGGTGCATCTTCTCTGCGGCCTCTTCCCCCTCCTCTCTGCTTCTGGCTGCCTTGAGCTGAGCAGCTTCCCTCTGCCATGCCCTCCCCCCACCATGTGGGCCTCACCTTGGGCCCAGAGGAAAGGAGTCAGCCATTTGTGGACTGAAACCTCTGAAAGAGTGAGCTCCTAATAAACTCTCCCACCTCTAAGTCCTTCTCATCAGGCACTTGGTCACAGCAATGCAAAGCTAACACACTGCCTATCTTTTTACTTATACTTCTAAAAGGACCTGCCTCCTGGGAATGGGTTTGAGGAGCAAGCAGGATTTTTACTTTATAAAGTGGAGCTTTTTTTGCTTTGTTTTATTTTTATTTTATATGACCAAGTATTACTTTGATCACTTAAAACGTCATTAGCATTCCTAAAAGCAGGCAAGACTGATCTTTACAAAAATAGTAGAAGGGTTGGAAAACATGTAATTTTGGACTAAAAGACATATGGCATTAATACTGATCAGGAAGAACCCGAAAAAGCTTTTCTCTGTATTGTATTCAATTTATTAAACACTTTGAGGTCTACTTATCTGAAAATGTAGACTTTCGAGCAGAGCAACTTAGGGAAAAAGCAGTACATCTGGGAGCACAAAATTTATAGTATGGAGAAAAAGAGCCAATTTGTTTCAGGCAAAAAGTTCCTGGAAATAAACTTTGGGAAAACTCAAATCTCCTTGTTCCCTTTTCTTCGGGGAAACTCCAATTCACTATACAAAGCCAAGAAAAAGGACATTTGGCTTACTAATATTATTTACCACATTTTCTCATTATGTTTACCACAGTAATTTTATCGTAACTTGTAGTCATTTCCTGACTTAGCATTCTTTGGATGGTCAGCAAAATAAACTGATTCTGGCAACCTTAAGCCAAAGACAGAAAGGAGGGGTGAGAATTTATTATCAAATGGTGCTGGTGCATCGCACAACTTAGGGAAAGAGTTAACACCCAACCTTCAGAAAAAATGTAGGTGAGGACAGCCCCAGGAACCCTCAAGAGTTCTCAGATCTTTTCTCCAAAGTGTGGCTATTAAAAAGACTTGGGCCTGAGGATGTAACTCAGTGGTAGAGTACTTACTTAGCATGCACAAGGTCTTGGGGTTTAAACAGTTTAGCCCAACTGGTCCTAGTCCTTGTTTCTCTAGATCTACTCTTGGATCTATCTGCTATGGGTAGGGAGGTAGGGAGAAAGAGCACAGATTTGACAGGAGCAATTCCCAGAAAGGGAAAATATTATATAGAGACAATAATCCCCAAAAACACAGTTGTCTCTTAGTATCCATGAAGTACTATTTCCAGGACCCCCTTGGATACCAAAAATCTGCTGATGCTCAAGTCCCTCATATAAAATGATGTAGCATTTGCATATAACCCAATCCTCCAGTAGATTTTAATTCACCACTAATTACTTTTAAAACATTCTAAGGTAATGTAAATACTTTGTAAATAGTTGTCATACTGTATTGTGGGGAATAAAAAGGAAAAAGTCTATGCTTATTCAGTACATATATAATTTTTTTCTGAATATTTTCAATCTGAGGTTGGTTGAATCCATGGATGAATAACCAATGGATAGGGAAGGCTGAAGGGATCTACTGTGTTTTTCTCTGTGTTAGGAGTAACTTTTGGACTCTTCTAAAATTAATTGTTGAAAAGTACATGGTTAGGAAATAGCACAAAATTCTGAGGAGCTAAAATTATCACTCCAAACTCAGTTTTTATGTGAGCCAAAATAAAATAATCATCTGCATTTAGGGGATTGTGGTTGGGTGTAATCTCTATTTTGCAGATAAGGAAACTGTTCTGAGAATGAGTGGCTCACCTAGAAACCTGACTACAGGGCTTTTATTTCTAATTGATCCTCTTCCGCCTGAATGACTCCATCTCTTATCCAACCTGACCTTTGCCTCATTTTTTAAGCTATTAAATTGGTAAATAATCTCAAAGCTGAACATTCTGAATAAGGGGGATAAAATTGTTGGTTTTGTTTTTAGGTACAGATGAAAGACATAGCAGATGAGCTTTTACTACAGAAGCATGAAAGGAAAATCGGGATCTGGAAGGCAAGTGATCATTATATTCCTCCTCTTCTAAGTTCCACTCCATCTAAAGTATTATTTTTCCTTCCTCTTCATGTTCAAAAACCTTCATCAAAGACACTGCTTTCTGAACCACCAACCGATTGCTGATAACTGTTCTTACTTAGCAGATGAAATTTTGGCACAAGTGTGACTCTGCCAGAGCTCTCTTCTTAAGAATTCCTTGACCACGACCATAGAAGTGTGTCCTTTAATTATGATGTTTTATTTTGTTTTGTTTTGTTTTTGCACAAGGCCCTGGGTTTGGTCCCCACACACATACTCTGTGTGTGTGTGTGTATTTGTATATGAACATATACATACATATATATGTATATATAAAACACATACATATATACATATATGTACACACATATATATGTGTACATACACACACACACACACACACACACATATATATATATATATACACACACACACACACATATATATTCTGATTGTGATGGATTTATTGAGACAAGCTATTCTTTCCAGCATATGGTAGTTTATTTATTTTTGAGAGTAGATTATACAAAAAGAATAGTATGCAATGGGATCAGCAAGTTTAGACATTTTACATTATCCCCTTTATTTAGAATAAGTTTAGCTTTAAAATAATTAAGATACTATCATTTCAGTGATTATTAAACCCACTCTAATGATACCTTACTAGTAATTGCCCATTTTGCGATTTATAAGCATCATGAACATAGTCATCCCTTTGAGCCTACAAGTTTATGTGTATTTATTCTTCTGCAGGTCATGATAGAAGGCCACACTAGGCCCAGGTGATCCCCTGCAAACCAACAAAGATAAAAATTTAATCAAATGTTAGAGGAGTGCATGTGTCTGTTAGGATGCTCTTTCCTGGATTTCCTCTTGAACGGAAATAATTTTTTTAAATGTTTGATTTTTTTTCTGTGTTTTTAGTTGGAATACTAAATAGAATGAGCTTATATTTTCTTATTGTGCCTTATATATTATATTATTTTCTATTTAGTTAAATTATGGGTTTTAGTTAAATTACTAAGTTTTAGTATCTTAAGAAGCAGGTCTTAAAACAGTATTTGTTGAGTGGGTTTTAAATAAACATCCCAGTCTAATCCATAGTTGTTTCTATTTATGGGGCTATAATTTTAATATGGACCAGATGGTAAGGGACTTAAGTTTTTGTCCAGAGACCATGGCATGTGCCTCACTAAAGCAGTGATAGACATCTATGCACTTTATCTGGGTTAATGGCACCACCACCCATCCAGATTGCCTGGAAATGTGTTCACCCCTCAGTTCCAACTCAGATGTCATCTTCAAGCCCTGATCTCTAAAGGCTTCACTTTTCCATGCAGAATTAGTTATTCTTTCCTTTGTATTCCCACGGCACTTTATGTAACTCTGTTAAACATTTGTATTGATGATCATATATGATTTTTTCTCCCAAGGAATTTATTTTGTGCCTTGTCAGTGATAAATATTTTTCTTGTAATTTAATCATTAATATAATCTGTAAGTACATCTAAAATGGTGCCTTGGGAATGATGCTTTCTTGTATGGTTGTACACGACGATCAACTCTGGGGAACTTCAATAAAATTAAAATCTATTCATCAAATTCAATAAAATCCATTTCTTATGTTTTTTAATCTGAGAGGATAAAGGGAATTGAATGTGTGATTTTAAATAATCAAAATAAAAGGAGGAGACATGTTATATTTCAAAATTGTGAAGATATAAAATACATGTAGGTTAAAAATGCCCTTCAGCATTACTGAAGCACCATGGGTGCCTCTGGATTTCATGTTGCATGGTGCAAATCCTCAGCAGAGAAACTTTATTATTTTAAAAAAGTTACTTACTACTTGTTTTTATAATTATTGATTATTAATCATAATGTATTATTAAAATAATACGAAGATGTTCTGCCTAAAACCATGAGCTTTCAGGATACAATTATAGTGAAGTTCAATTAATTGATATCTTTAAAAAATTAGAAACTCTTAAGTGTTACACTGCTTTTACTTTTTAAAAGGCAGGAGAATTATGTAATAGTAAAATAAATAATGGAGTAATATCTAATCATGACATTAAGATTATCATGTTGTGTTTGAGTGCCGAACTCTTACCACCCGCCGACAGGTAGGGTTGCCAAGTTGCAGTGTTTTAACATTCTCTATGTAGCCATGTGTTCTAAGTCAACTAGTCATTTCCTTTTCCCTCTACCTTTAAAAAACATGATGCCATAAAAATATACAGGAGACAAGAGAGCGGGGGAGGGGAGTTGTCCAGTTCTATGGTATACATGACATGAATTTCAACAGCCAAAATTAAAGGAGATAAAAGTCAGTAATTTAGCCTACTTGGTGACTTTTCTACTTTTTAGAGCACAGTTAATTTTCTGTATTCTGTTTTGCACAGCCAGTGGAGAGTAAATGGATTTCTTCATGGAGTGATATTATTGCTTTTCGTAAAGCATTGTTGAATCCAGTTACTGCAAGACAGTTCCAACGTTTTGTGGCTCTAAAAGGAGATTTACTAGAAAACGGGGTGCTCTTTTGGCAAGAAGTACAAAAATATAAGGTATCGTATTGGAAGCTGAGGAAAAACCACTTCTTTTTTGAGGAGGAAATGCATTAACATATCAAATTCCTAACTATAACTCTCTAGACAAGATTTGTATAAGATCTCAATTTTGCCATCTTCTTCATCCCAATTTTAAGTACTGAGATGCTTATTACTCGTTGTCTAGATACACTTACTATTATATCGTGAAGAGTAAGTCCTAAAATGGTAGTAATAGGTTTTTTAAAGGCATTAACATGTATTATGATCATAGAATGAGTACCTTCCTGGAGAGAGTTTTAACTGAATTTTTCTATCTTACATATGTATATATATATATATAAGTGTGCCATACACATTTTTTCCCTTAAGATATCCATATAGCCAATACCTCTTTATAAGAATTCCTCCCAACTAAATTTATAGCAATTGTAATCAGAGATTCCGATTTATAGATAAACCACAGATGAGAAAGGTTTTTCTATTAGAAAGAAAGGCCAAATTCTTAACAAAATAAATAAGAGAATAAGGGGTTAGACACACAGATAGTTTATTTGCAGATTAAAGTGTTTAATGGAATCATATATTATATTGTCTAGACTTGAACAGAGAAATGTTGTCTAAAAATACTTAAGAGGTATCTAGCATCTGTTTAAATGCTCCCAGGGGTGTAGGCTTATTTTCTTGTAATCAGCCTATTTTATCTCATTGTAAGAGTGGGGAATAAAAATCAAACTAGAATTCAAGAGTACAGTGTTTTCAGTTGGTCTATAATGTAAGTTTGTATTATGCAACACTAATACAGTTGCATAATATTTGTTCAATAAAATTCATGCTTTCTCCAACATACATGAAACTTTTTTCTACCTTTTTCTGGTTTTGTACTATTCTCAGTTTAGGTTGTAACAGAAAAAAAAAATTTTTTTTGAGAAGTTTTTTCACAATGTTTCCCAACAATCATACCAAAATAAAATTTTTGAGAATTAGAAAGGAGGTAGAGTTTGCTTTCCACAACAGACAATTTTTGAGCAGGGTGAGCAGAATCATCTTAAAGTGAATATGAACATGAATAAGCCCAAGACTGATAGGACAAGAAGAATGAGGTAAACCTTATAAAAAAAATATTTAAAAAGAACATGGACTCATAGAAGCCACTCTTAGTGTTGTGGCTGCCCTTAGTCTCCATTTTAGTATCTTTTCTACAGTATGGCATGAAGGACTTAAGAATACTCGGTGGCTATATTTTAAAATACACTATAAAATTAGAAATCACGCTATGGGAATAAATCCATTCCTCTGAGAAGCATCTCTTTTGTGTCTGGAAAGGTGAGCACAGTGTGTTGGCAGGGTTTGAGTAGGTATAGGTGTAGCACAGAGGTAATGCTGGGGTGGTGGGGCAGGGAGATCTCAGCAGGAGTGGTGGCCCTTGTACTGGGTCCTGAGGGAACTTGCCGGCTGGAAGGGGCTCCACTGGGCAAAGCCTTCACTGAGCTCATCTTATGGGGCTTACTCTGCTAAACATTTATTGTCTGGAAGATATTGTCTTAATGCTTTTCATGTAATAATGAATTTATTCTTCACAAGTATCCTATGAGTTCAAGGATATTTTCACCATTTTACAGATGAGAAAACTAAAGCACACACACAAAAAGTTAAACTCCCAACATCACCAGCTAGTTAAATCATAGAGCAAGAATTTGAAACAAGTCATTCCAATGGGAAAGCCTAAGTTCTTAACCTCAAAGTAACACTGTCTCCTAGTAATAATTACGGTAATATTTAAAGAGCTGGCTGGAATAAGCTTAATCAGATGTTATTCTGTATTGTGAAAAAATCAGAAAGAACCAGATGTACAAGAGGACACTGGTTACAATTATGAAACATCTCCACGACAGAATACTTTGTGTCAGTAAAAATCATGCTGTGGGAGAATCATCAATGATGGAAAAACATGTTTATATCATTGATTTATTCTAAAGTAGCTACTAGAAAACAGTATGATTTGATGTAAAATGTGTGTGTGTGTGTGTGTGTGTGCGTGTGTGTGTTTATACAGAAAAGATTAGAAGGACATTTTCATCTAACAAATATTTATTGAACCCCTACCAGGGGCCAGGTTCTATATCCTGAGGGTTCAACCATGATCAAAATAATCTCTCTTCAAACTCATGATATCAAGAGAGGTTCAGACAATGGCAGACAAGGCAATAATAAGTGTGTCATTAGGGCAACAGCAGCAGGGGAAGCCTAGGATGCTAGGGAAGTAGGCAGGATGGACGTCTCTCTTGGAGTCTTGGAGAACTTACTAGAAGGAAACATACTTAACAAAACCTCTATAATAGGTGACAGTTAACTAGGCTAGTGGCATGACAGGGTGGGACAATTAGGAAAAAAATCAGGCCCAATCAAAAAATTCTTCTATATGATAAGCCCACTAGTAATGGCAACGAATGCATCCCATAATGTAACAAATGCCATTTAAATATGTTTTTTCTAAGGTGATGCTAAATTAAATAGAAATGCTAACCATTGTTACAATATAATGTTTTATATTAAGCTTTTTCACACATAACTTTTGCCAAACCATACATAAATTTTACATGACTGGTACAAGAATTTTTCTTTCATATTATGTGTAAGACAGCTAATACAATGACTGATAGGTACTGGACACTTAATAAATATTAGGTAATTTCTGACCTAGAATTAGAAGTTTTCAAATTTGTTTGCTTTCAACTGATTAGAAAACAATGTCTGGCCGGACCTAGTGGCGCACACCTGTAATCCCTGCAACTCAGGAGGAGCACAAGTTCAAGGCCAACCTTGGCAATTTAGTGAGGTCCTAAGCAACTTAGTGAGACCTGTCTCAAAAAAATCACAAGGACTGGGGATGCAGCTCAGTGGTAGAACCCTCACTAAATTCATTCTAGTAGCAGAAAAATAAATTAAAAATATCTTATTGAGCCCCTACCTGGGGCCAGGTTATATATCCTGAGGATTCAACCACAATCAAAATAATCTTCTCTCTCCAAACTCATGGTGTCAATAGAGGTTCAGATGATGGTAGATAAGGCAATAACAAGTGTGTCATTAGGGCAACAGCAAGGGAAGCCCAGGATGTTATGGAAGTAGGTAGGATGGATGTCTTTCTTGGAGTCCTGGAGAACTTACCAGAAGGAAACATTTCAGCTAATGTCTGTGGCTGGAAAATGCTATAATTCAGACTAAGTTATCTCTTTATTAAGAAAAAGAATATCCCTTTATTTGTGACTTAAAAACTGGGTCAGTTTAAGAGATGGTATTACTTTTATGTTTTTTATGAAGAGGATAATATGATGGGGTAATTGGAACAATATACATACTAAACGATATATAATGCCATTCCTTTTCACCACCAGCAGGCCCACTTTCTTCACTAGCCTTTTTAAGCCCAAGTCAATTTGGTGAAAAAGCAGCCTGGCGGGGAAAGCTATTGCATCTACCTGTAGCCTGAGTTAGATGCCCATTCTTGATATGCTGCACGGATCTTCTATATACCTCTACCATAACATACCATAACTAGCTATCCTGAATTTAAGTAGCATGTTTTCACATTTCTGCAGTAGAGATTGAAACCTCCAAGGGCATGAGCTGTGTCTGGAGTAGTCTCAGTCTGTGTCTGGCAGGTAGCAGGCTCTCAATATATAGTCATTAAATGAGTCAAAGCAGGCATTAAAACTGTTTCTTTGCCTGGATAAACAAGTGATCTGTATTAAATGAAATCTGTACCTATATAAGGTGCATGTATTAGTTTTAGGTTCTTCAAATCCAACAGAAAGAAAAGCTATGTTTATTTATTTATTTATTTATTTATTTAAGATAGCCTTGACATGTTCTGGTGCCCTCTTAACCTGAAGTTAAAATGAAATACCTTGCAGACATAGGTCTACGAAAGTGTTTTAGTAATGCATTGATCACATATTATTTTGTCTTTCCTTTCCTCCTCCTTGTTTAGGACTTGTGCCATTCCCATTGTGATGGGTCTGTCATCCAGAAAAAGATCACAACTATCATCAACTGCTTCATTAATTCTTACATTCCACCAGCTTTGCAAATTGACATTCCAGTAGAGCAAGCCCAGAAGATTATTGAACACAGGAAGGAGTTAGGACCATATATATTTAGAGAGGCACAGGTAAGAGATCAGGGCATGTGGCTAAGCATATTTTAAAATACATTAATAGGGCTGGGGTTGTGGCTCAGTGGTAGAGCACTTGCCTAGCATGTGCAAGGCACTGGGTTTGATTCTCAGCACTGCATATAAATAAATAAAATACAGGGTCCATTGAAAACTAAAAAAAATATTTAAAATATACATTGACAATCAAGATATTCTTTTAAAGCCTTTACATTATTCATATTTGGCAAGATTTCAATCTTCTGAGTACTGGGATGTTTAAATTAGTTTGCCGTGCCATTTAAATATAAGAAAATAGTAAGTCACGTGCTATTTTGTTGGTGATAAGATATAGCAAATAAAACTAAATAATACGCTTTGACTTTCAGTAGTTACCATTTTTATTTCTAATTTACTAAAAAAACTCCAGCTAATTCCTCCTTCCTTTCCCACCATTCATATTTCTTTTTAAAATATCTGCTACCTCAAAAATGTGTAAAATATGTGTGTCCCAAGATTTGTATATTTTTAAAGATTGGAATATTCACATAGCTCATAAAATAAGTGAGAGGAGATTTAAGTATTCAACCAACATAAAGTACACAAACTCATGAAAGGAAAATCATGTCTGTTAACCTGCTCAAGTTACTTCTTTTTAAGATAAATAATAGAAAACATTGACTTGGTGAACATAATTTATTTGCATTTTGAAAAGCCTTTTAGTGATGTTGTTCTTAAAAAATGATTAAGAAAAATAAATTATAATAGGGGTAATAGGGAAGGCCATGTCATGAATTAAGTGATATGAAACAGAGATTTAGAGTATGATTGCCCTTGAGCATGGAAAAAGGCCATTGTTCCTTAACTTTCATTTGTAAGCCAGCTGTGCTCTAAGTCCTCTAAGGGATTGAAAGTGGACTCACAATCCAAAATATGCATTAAAACAGGCAAAAATATAGAGAGGCATGATTGAGGATGTGCTAGAGAGAAATAGAGAAAACAGGGTGCCAGAATCAGAGCATCTGTTAATGAAGAGGTCTTAGAGAAAGCTTGGCCTCGCCTCGGGGTACTGACAAACCCAGACAGGACTTGCCAGTCTATTTCAAAGACCTTGAGCCTGGTGTTAGAGACCTGGAGCTAGGGACACTGGCTGGTTCTGGCACACTCTTCAGGAATTGCAGCCAGTGAGCTTTATTGGTGACCTCTGGCCTGTGACTTCTGTCTGATGTCCTAAAATGGAGTCCTAGCAATAGCTTAAATATAGAGTTTGAAGCCTCTGAAAATACAGGATCTTTATTTGGGGGCCTCATCCCTTTGAATCTGTTATTCCTTCTGTTGTTCCCAAGGAAGCTCAGAGAATGGCATACCACCTATCCCTCCCCAGGTATACAGCTAGTATCTGGTTGCCATCTTCATGTCTTCCCTCTCCTTCATTTTGTTACTCCCTCAGCTAATCCCTTCCTCAGATGTGTCCATTTGTCTCCTTGTCAGCTGTCACTCTACCTATATTTTCTTAAACTGTACCACACTTCAGATATGTAACAAGTCTCACATCAAATTACCAAAACCCCCTGCCTCTGGGCTCTCTCTAGTCCTTTCAACTCAATCTGCAAACAGAGTTATCTTTCTAAAATATGTCTGATCATGTCACTTCTCTGCTTAAAACGTTTCCGTTGTTCTCTCCACTGCCCTCAGAATGAAGTCCACATCCTCCATACCTGCCTGGCTCCATCTCTTACCGCTTCCTGCCATCTCTCCCCGGGTCTTCCTGAAATGGCTCTTACTGTCTTCTCTCCTGAGCGTTGTGCTGTATCTTCTTTTCTTCCTGTATCTGTCCCTGTCAGAGCCCTTATCACACTAAACTACAAGTGACTATCCTCATGTCTGACTTTCCCATTAGGCTGTAAGCCTTTTGAGGACAAGGAATGTTTCTTTCTTACCTTTGTGGCCCAAATGCTTGGCACATTTTTTGACTTTATGAATGAACGATGTGAGACGAGATCTGGCATGACAGTGAAGAATAAGATCATATTGGAAATGACAGCAGAGTTGAGCAAAAGGACTGAGTAGTAAATAAGACTCTGCTGTTTAGCATGGCCATCAGTGTACCTGTGACGACCCCTCCTGCCCATGCCCAGTGGCTGGAAAATTTCATCATCAGCCAAGTTTTCACTGATCCTTTGATTCATACTAAAACCATTGCTCATCTACTAGCATTGAGCAGAGTAGTTCTGTAGTTATTATTTTCTTTACCCCACAATTTGGTTTTCTTTTAACCTTCTGGAGGTACAGATTCCATTTATTAATTATAGGCATTAACCTAAAATCTTAATTGCATCTTTTGGAAATATTGAGCTTTTATGACTTCTAGTAAAACATCATGTCCTAATTGGGTGAACTTACTAGAGAGCCTTCTACATGGAGATACATACATTTGAGAGATGGGAATGATTAAGATTTTGGAGAGAGAATGGAGAAGTAGGCACAAAAATTGGTGGTCAGAGAAGAAGGAGTAATTAAATTAAAGTTCATATAGCTACTGTGATACCAGTATATTGACAAGGGGATTACCTAATTAAATGAGTGGCAGATAAATATAAATGAAATTTTCTTCAAAGCATGCATTTCATCAAATAAAATGTCTCTAGATTTTATGATCACATTCCCAGGAGTCTATGGAATTCAGTCACAAAACTGTCCTTTAAAAAGGGTGAATGATTTTATAATTATGAATCACATTCATGTATGGAAAAGTGGAGCAATGAAATATGCCGATTCAGGACTGTCAACCATGAAGTATTTACTTTGTAAAAAAAATAAAAAAATCTTCTTTTCCCTTAAGAGTTGGCTTGGTGCCTAATGGGATGGTTCATTTTTCTTAGGGCATTAGGTAAAGGCCATTCCTAGCCATACGATGTTGGGCTTGATTTGATGTGGCAAGTCCTACCTTCTTGGAAGTAATGTATGCCTCTGGAACTAATGGAAAAACTTGGCATGGGAATTAGAGCAACTATTCTTATCTCTGTAAATATCACAATTAATCACTTAATGTAAAGTGTCCTTATAGAAAGCATTTGTCTAGGATACCATTCTGCTTTCTAAATGTTACTTTTCTTGCTCTCACATAAAAGAAAGATTATATCATTTAAAAGTTACTCAAGATTTATTCTTAGATCTGCAGCTTTGTTTAAGAGCTTTTCCAGAGGCAAAATGGTATTTCCTTTCTCTAAAAGAAAGAAAAGGGGGTGGGGGAGTTTCCCTTGATGAACTGAATACTTGGAATACTTGTGTAGAACAGCAGTGTGTAGCAGATCAACTAGTATATGTTTTAAAAGAAAACATAAATTTCTTATTTAAAAAGACCTAATGGATTCTTTATTAATACAATCAATTGGTTAGGGAAACATAAGAATAAAGTGACTTTTAAGTGTATTTGGTCTGTGTGTGTGTGTGTGTGTGTGTATTTTTTCTAAAGAAAGAATTCTCATTGGTAATAAAAAGAACATTGATGATAAGCATGTGCTGAGCTAAACTGTACTAAGAAGTCTGGAGACAATAAGTTGAAGGAAACATGGTGCATATTAAAGACAGAATAGTTAATCCATTATTATGGTGAATTAGAGTTTAAATTGATGCATTTATATAAAATTGTAATCTGAGACATACTTTGTTTTTTTACACAGATGACAATTTTTGGGGTTCTGTTTAAATTTTGGCCACAATTCTGTGAGTTTAGGAAGAATTTAACTGATGAAAAAATTATGAGTGTGTTAGAGAGAAGACAAGAATATAGTAAGAAAATAAAATCCTCAAGCACAGATGACGAAAAATTGGGAAAGGTAAGACAAGACTTCTTTGGGATTGAATCGTACTTTGAAAAGGTATGTGGTATGTGTGAATTTGTAGAAGAATTTTCACTGAGGGAATATAGAGATAAGTTATGGAATACAGATTTTAGTGGCTTTTAAGTCTTTGTTCAGAGGTTTCAGATTTACTTTTGAATTCCCCAAGATTCATTTCAAATATTGCCTCTTCTATGTGAAGTCTTCCTTAACTCTCCTAGCTACGCAAACAGCTTACATCTGCTGCAGTAATGTTCCCCCTTCTCGTAAAGCATGCTTTTTATTGTCCTGTAAGTTTCTGCATCTGCCATCTTTGATGGATAGAGATCCTTAAAGATAGAATCACAAGTTCAAGGCCACCCTCAGCAACTTAGCAAGACCCTGTCTCAAAATTTAAAAAAGTAAAGAGGGCTGGGGATGTAGCTTAGTGGTAAAGCAGCTCTGTGTTCAATCCCCAGTATAAAGAGAGAGAGAGAGAGAGAGAGAGAGAGAGAGCCCATCTGACTCTTCATCCATGCTTATAAGCACAAATCCCTTAGCCAGCATGTTGCTTTATTATTAATAATCATCGTTTATTGAATAAATCAGGAATTCTATGTGGTGTATGTAAAATAAAGAGTGTAATATACTTTACATCACAGAATACCATTGAAAAACATGTAGAACACAGCACGTGTCATAAAGTAAATGTTAGTCACATTGATACTGTGGCAGTGGGTCTGTGCACCTCAGTCCCAGATGCTTTGAAGGATGAGGTGGAAGGATGGCTTGAGGTCAGGAATCCAAGAGCAGCCTGAGCAACATAGGGAGACTCTGTTTCAAAAACAAATGTAGCAATAATTTTTCTTCTTTATTGTAAAAATAATATCAAACATATCTTTCATTTTTATTCTTATCAAGTAGTTAAATGGAACACGGTAATCTGAAGAAAGTTATGATAAGAGAAAAAGAATCTCATGAAAATAACTTTCATTTAGTTTAATATCAAATACTTAAAACGAACAGTGTCAAATTTATTAACAAAAAGAGCACGTAGCTTCACTAAATAAAAATTTTAAACTTTTAAATGGCAAAAAATAAGATTAGAAGACAAATTGGGAGATAAAAGTTAAGATATAAGTTATAAAAACAAATCAGAAAAAAGGTAAATACTCTTAATAGAAATTTGGATGAAGAGTGTTAGTATGCAATCCCCCCCCCAAAAAAAAATTACAAATAAACAAAAGCGTTCAAAGGTATTCAGCCTCCCTGTTAACCAAAGACATGAAGACTGGCACAGAAGAAAATATTGGCAATATCCACTGTTTGTTGAGCTTGTGAGAAAGAGGCATATAAACTCATCCATTATTAGAGAAGGTATAAAATGGCACATTTTTCTAAAGGATAGTTTGACAACAAATATTGTTTAAAATGTTCATTTTTTAAAAGTCAGCACATACACTTCTAGAAATTTATTCTAAAGGAGATAATCATAAAAATGCACAAAGGTATATGTACATAGCATCATTTATAATAGCACAAAGTTGGAAATCACCTAAATTTCTAATTTATCTAAGTATATCCCTTTAATCACGTTTTGAAAATGATAGTATATGTTTTTCATTTTATCATTCAACAAACATTGAGTGCATAAGACTATTTAGTCATTGAAAATGGTGATCTAATTTATTCATTTTATCATTCAGAAAATATTTGAGGACATCCTATGTGACAGATGCTGTTCTACAAGTAAACATATTAATGGCAAATAATACAAAGGCCCAGCTTACATTCCATTTCTGTGTTTCTTTACATAGAAACGTTTTCATAAAATATTTTGCATGAAAATGCAGATTTTAAAAGAACACATATATGGGAAACCTGGAAATCCATATGCTATAGAATGAAATTTAACCCTTATTTCTCACCCCGCACAAAACTCAACTCAAAGTGGATCAAAGGCCTAGGAATTAGATGAGAAACCCTGCACTGCTAAAAGAAAATATAGGCCCAACACTCCAACATGTCAGCTCAGGAACTGACTTCCTTAACAAGATTCCTAAAGCACAAGAAGTAAAATAAAAAATCCCTACATAGGGGCGGGGTTGTGGCTCAGTGGCAGAGTGCTTGCCTCGCAATATGAGGCACTGGGTTCGATCCTCAGGACCACATAAAAATAAATTAAAAAAAAAAAGATATTGTGTCCATGTATAAATAAAAAAAATATTTAAAAAAAAACCCTACATGGGATGACACCTTTCAACAGATGAGTGGATAAAGAAAATGTGGTATTTATACACAATGGAATATTACTCAGCCATAAAAATGAATGAGATTATGGTGTTTGCTAGTAAATGAATGGAACTGGAGACTATCATGCTAAGTGAAATAAATCAATCCCCCCAAAATAAAAGCCAAATATTGTCTCTTATACACAGATGCTAGCATACAATAAGGGAGGGAAGAATAAAAATTTATTGTATTAGACAAAGGGGATGGGAATAGGAAAGACCATACAATGAATCAGACACAACTGATATGAATACACTACTGGTTGTAACTCCACATCATGTATAACCACAAGAATGGGAATGTATGTACGTATAATGTCAAAATACATTCTACTGTCGTATATCACTAAAAAAAAATGAAATGTAGTAGAACATTGTGTAAAATTTGGAGATACAAATTAATATTTAAGATTAATGCTTTAGTTCTTTTCCGTAATCACCTGCTATATTTGGCAAACTTAGTGTTTAGCAAACATTGTTCTGGATGATGTTTGCATTTAAAAGACATGTTCTGTCTTCTCAAAAAAAATGGGATGGCATCAAATTATAAAGCTTCTTCACCTCAAAGGAAATAATCAAGAGCATGAAGAGAGAGTCTACAGAATGGGAGAAAAATCTTTGCAACTTGCTCCTAAGATAGGGCATTAATATCCAGGATATACAAAGAACTCAAAAAACTTAACACCAAAAAAGCAAGTAACCCAATCAATAAATGGGCAAATGAACTAAACAGACAGTTCTCAGATTAAGAAATCCAAACTATCAACAAATGAAAAAATGTCATACATCTCTAAGAATTGGAGAAATACAAATTTAAACTACACTGTGATTTCATCTCACTGCAGTCAGAATGGCAATGATCAAGAATACAGGTAACAACAAATGTTGGCGAGGATGTGGGGGGAAAACATACACTCATGTATTGCTGGTCAGACTGCAAATTGGTGCAGCGTCTCTGGAAAGCAGTATAGAGAGTACTCAAAAAGCTAGGAATGGAACCCCATTTGACCCAGTTATCCCACTCCTTGAAATATATCCAAAGGAGTTAAAATCAGCATGATATATTGATACAGCCACAAAAATATTTATAGCAGCTCAATTCACAATAGCTAAGGTATGGAACCAATCTCGGTACCCTTCAATAGATGAATGGATAAAGAAAATGTGGTATATATACGCTATGGAATATTACTCAACCATAAAGAAGAATGACTTTATGACATTTGCTAGTAAATGGGTGGCTTGGGAGACTATCACACTGAGTGAAATAAGCCAATCCCCCCAAATAAAAGGTTGAATGTTTTCTCTGATATGTGGAAGCTAATCTACAATAAGCGGGGGGTGGGAGTGGGGGGAAGGTATAGAAGTTCAGTAGAGTAGACAAAGGGGAATGAAGGAAAGGGAAGGGATGGGAATATATGTATATAAATATACTAAGTGAATCTCACCATTGTGTACATTTACAAGAAATTAATTAAAAAATAACTATGAGTAAATGACAGAAAGATCCCTAGAAGAGAGGAAAGGGAAGGGGAGGTACTGGGAACTGAATTAGAACAAGATATATTTCATGCTTTTAAAATTATGTCAACATATATTTTTTTATATATGTATAACATGTATAACTAAAATGAACAAATAAACAAACACTTCTCATTAGTAATAAAATAAAAACATTGATGATCAGCATGTACTGAGCTCAACTATACTAAGAAGTCTGGAGACAGTAAGTTGAAGGAAACATGGTGTATATTAAAGACAGAATAGTTAATCCATTATTAGGGCGCTCTGGCATGACAGTGAAGCATAAGATCAAATTGGAAATGAGAGCAAAGTTGAGCAAAAGAACTCAAAACTCAAAAAAACCCTCAAAACTCAAAACTCAAAAAAAAGCAAAACTCCTTTTGTAAAAGGACTGAGTAGTAAATAAGACTCTGCTGTTTGGCATAGCTATCAGCATACCTGTGACTACCCCTCCTGCCCAGGCCCAGTGGCTGGAATTGCATAAAATTCAATCGACAAAACATAAACATTAAGATTATAGATTATATTTGTATTTCTATGCATTTTCTTTCGTGAGAAGTCTGGATGGATGTTCTTGAAAATGTTACAATGGTTTCTCTTAGATGCTAGAATTTGGGAATAGATTTTACATTCCACTTCATTATCTCATTTGTTTTAAAATATTTTATATTAGTATAAAAGAAAATTAAGATCAAAATGACTTGATGAAAACTCAGTTGTAGCATTCACCATGAAATATTTTTTCACATGATATTACAACTTCTTCACTTCAAATTCGTATTAGTATAGCATTATCCCTTTTCTGGAATAATTTAATTTAATATGATTACAGTTTGGAATCAAACAATATGGAAGTACTACAGGGTCTGCTACCAAAAGCGCCTTAGTCACTGAACCCCTCCAAGGCCTGCAAGCATATGGCCGGCAGGTAAGCAGCAAAAGAGCACAGGTCTCACTTCCTCTCCAGAGGACTGTGTGGTGGCTCCCAAACTCAGTCACTGGACAGTGCTGGGGTGTTTGAAAGTGGGGCTAAAGTTATAACACTAGGAATGATTGGAAGGGAATGTCCTTGAGTTTTTAGAGTTGAACAGTACTTTTAAGCTGATTCTGGACATGTAATCAAGGAAAATAACTTCTTGAAACACATGAAGATTTAAGTTGCAGAAGTTGAAATGACCATTTTACTGGAAAAGAGAATAAGAGAGAAAAAAACTATATGTATATATATATATGTTGTTATATTCTTGTGTTAAGAGATGACAGAAGAACGTTAATGCTTTGTTTCAGTTTTCTAATTTCTTGAAGCGGTCATTAAATTGGCCATTGACTAATACATTCACAACTTTTTTTGTTTATTTTTATAATGAGCACATTAATATCACTTCTCCCCAAATTTCATGAGATTATGTGCATTTTTGATTATTTTATATTGAAAGTGTTTGCATCTTAGGATAATACTGACTCAAGAAACAATCATTTTAGCACTCAGGAATGTCACATAACTTCAGTTATCTGGTTGAACTAATAGACTGAAAAGCTTTACTGTGAGAACAGAAATATTCAATTTTATGCAACCATGTGCTGAAAGAGAAATATCTAAAAGTGTACAATACCTAGAAATACATTCAGAAATATATTAGTAAATGATTAGTGTTAAACTTCAAAAACAGAGTGTAAAAAGAAAAGGGGTAAATGGCAGGGTTCCGTGGTGCACGCCTATAATTCCAGCAGCTAGGGAGGCTGGGGCAGGAGGATCACAAGTTCATAGCCAGCTTCAGCAATTTAGCGAAGCCCCTAAGCAACTCAGTGAGACCCTGTCTCTAAATAAAATAAAAAAAGGGCTGGGGATGTGGTTCAGTGGTTGAGTTCAATCTGATACGGAAGGAAGGAAGGGAGGGAGGGAGGGAGGGAGGAAGGAAGGAAGGAGGGAAGGAAGGAAGGAAGGAAGGAAGGAAGGAAGGAAATGCTGATGTAGATGACCAGGTTTATAATTTTTACTCTGCCCTTATAATTCAGCATTACCTCATTGACTGAAACTCAGCACATAATCTCCTTTGAGTCTGCTTTCTTATTTGTAAAAAGAGAGAAATGAGATGATAATGTCCTAACAGATAGCTCAAGATATTTGTAGGAAATGGAAAAGCTTTTGAAACGGAAGTGGTGATATACTCCTGTAATCCCAATGGTTTGGGAGGCTGAAGCAGGAGGATTACAAGTTTAAGGCCAGCCTAAGCAATTTAGTAAAACCCTCTCTCAAAATAAAAAGGGCTAGAGATATAATTCAGAGGTAGAATGCTCATGGGTTTGATTTTTTTTTTCAATTTTTGTTCTTTCAATACTGAAAGAAAGAAAGAAGAAATACTCTTTGGAAACCAAAGTCATTTTATAAATATAAATGTATATCATAGTTATTATAGCTATTTAAAGTATCTATGTTGAATTACTCTAGCAATTTGTAAAATAATAATAACACTGCCATTTTGCAAATGTGGGTGGGTGCCTGGTATATGCATTTTTTCAGCTAGATTTTGCACATTGAAATTGTAATTAATCCAATTGCAAAAATTATCCTCTGATTCTCCTACCCGCAAAATCTTGGATCTTTTATAAGCACCTAGTATGTAAAGATTTAACTGTCAAGATATCTATAAAGCTTTTGTGACACTGATTCACTGAGCAATATTATCATCATCCTCACATCCTCCCCCTCCACACTCATCCAGGAAATTTACAGATTTAGGCAAAAATTTTTAGAATGCCCTTACTGTATCATAAACATTCTAAGAAAAGGAGTAAGATAGATTGATAATAATTTTTGATGCCCAAAATGTTTACTAAGCAAATTCAGCTTGTGAAATTTATACCCCTTAAACTTCTGATATGCATACTTTTCTTCGTATGTGTTATACTTCAATAAAAAGTTTAAATGAAGCGATATAAGTCATTTTACCCTCAATAATAGAAGTCATTTTAACTCCAGTTTACTTCCTCAGGCAAAAATTTCTAGAATTAACTTTGAAAATCATTTTTCCAGCCAACCTGGTGCTACTCAAAGTATATAGAAGCCTTAGAACAGGAAAGAGTTCTTCTTAAAATCCAAGAGGAACTGGAAAGAAAGATGCTTGCAGGTAAGTTTTTCTCTTTATTTACAAGATTATTTTGCTATTTCCTATCACAGATTAATTTTAGAGGATTTCAGCAATTACTTTTTATTCCTTTCATTTTGCACAGGTACATCATCACTAAGTAATTTATTTAGGCCTTCTGGTTCAGTCTTGTCTTTGAAGAAGACTTGGTCTACCGTCAGCCTCCTGAGTGAGTTTCCAGGGCTAGTCCATCTTCAGTCCTCCTTTCTGCCTCTCAATTGGCCATTCAGAACATGGAGGCCATTCAGAACCCCCACTTCCCTGAATCCCAAGTTAGGGATGCGAGTGTGTCCTGGTGTGTTCTGTCTCTGTGTTTTCTCTCCTTGCTGAGGAGGAAAGATTAAGATATTTATTCCTACAACTTGACCTCTTTTCCAGAGGGACAGCATTGATTGTCAGTGTTTGCATCCTGTTGCTGATAGGTGCAAGGTGAGTCCTAGTCTGAGAGATGGTCATTCCCACCATGTCCCTTTAGCACACACTCATATATATGTGTGCAGCTGTGCACACATAAACCACACGCACACACACCACACACATCTACACATCCGTGCCCCACTGACAAATCAAGGGGTCAGAACATCTTGTCCTCCTTTTGAATGGTATTGTCTCTCCTGAGAAGTAATGCCTTTGAGAGTACTTAGTACTTATCCATCCTCTCTTCCACAGAGAACATGGATGGAAGAATGGGATATAGCACAGTTTTCCCAAAATGGGAATATAAGAAGGAACTGAGAGTAAAGACAGGGCCTTTCTCCCATAAAGATATTGATATACAGATTATCTGTCATTGTTTTGTTTTTGTTTTGCCATGTTTTTGTTTTGAGCCCAGAGGAACTCCACCACTAGGCTATATCCCCCGTCCTTTTGTTATTATTGTTGTTGCTATTTTAAGACAGGATCTCCCTAAGTTGCTCAAGCTGGCCTTGAATTTGCCATTCTCCTGATTAACATCCCAGGTAATTGAGATAACAGTGTCCACTACTGTAACCAGCCTTATATGGTTTTGACTGGGTACTAATGTTGGGGTTTAACAAGTCCTTTACAAAGTAGTCCAATGACAAAATGTAGTATATGTGTGACCCATTGGCCAGATAGTTGAAGAAGCCAGTTAAATTAAAGTCCCCTTCTTTTTTACCTTTTGTCCTGCAGATTAACTTTTTGGTTTTTTAAAATTCTTACTTTTTCTGGTTCTTGGGAGGGGTTGATGAGTAGGCCTAATGTTTTTAGCCTGCTCATTTTTTTTTCCTATTATTATTTACCCTACCCACTGTTTCCCCCACTCCTTAGGACACCACTTTCTTGATCCTGTGACAATTCTGTATAGTTTTTGTTGTCTCTGTTCTGGATTTAAATTTTCCATAATATCATTTTAAATTTATATTTTTTATAAATGCTTATGTTTTCATGAATTTATTTTTGTCTTGCAGGAATTTTTTATGTCAAAGTTAACTGACATGAGAAGCTCAAGTGACTTATTGTCTTGATGGTCTGCCATAGAGCAAGTCTAATATCCACATAAAATTTAGCTTGTTTTGCTTTTATACTTGTAAAATTACAGTTATTCTGTACACATGACATACAAGAATGTAAAATTCTCAGAAACACTACAACAAAATTACTACTATCTAGCTTAAAAGAATCGAAATGTTTTGCTTATCATAATCCTTAAAAGTATGTAATGTTTTTCTCCTCAGTTAATATTTTAACAAATATTCCTTGATTCCTTTACTATATTTAATTAGCAGATACATTCGGCAAGCCATCAGGGAACATGAATATTCCAGCAATAAATTGGCCCAAAATATAAACAAAAGAGTCTTCCCTCTTTCCTTTATAAAGAAGCTATCATTAAAGCAGTGGTTCTCACACTTTAATGTGCCTAAGATTGACATGTGACCCTGACTAGCAATTCAGGTTCCTGGGGCCACTTCCTGAGAATCTGCTTCAGTAGTGCTTGGGCAGGACTCAGAAATCTCAGTTTTTACCAGACGTCCCTGGTGATTCTGATGCAGTATTCCACAGAGGACTCTTTGAGATAAACTGATAGGGCAGCAAGAAAAGTACTTCAAAGGGTAAAAGCCCTCTTATTAACTGAAGCTGCATTTTTTACTCAGAGGATCCAGACATACCCCTTCCTTTACTTGTTTCTAGAGGGAAGGGAAAGTGGGTAAAGAAATGACCTGGGAGGGTGGTTTATGGACCTTGTGACTCAGTTGCTCCAAGGACTGCGACTAGATGACCAGATTGTGAACAATGGACTTCCAGTTCTACACAATCTTGGAAGATATTTTCAAAGTTGTAAGTGCCATTCCAAATTCTCCAAGGAGTTAAATATTTTAAGTGGGGAAAGTATCAGTAGATATACTTTAAAGATCATCTTTCCTCTAAAGCAGGGGGTTTAGGAACTCTGTAGTTTCCTATGCTCCCACAGCACCCCTAAACCCTAGAAAGCCTGTTTTGAGACTATTTTCCATTTGTTAACCTTCTTAATTCGTCTCTTCTTTTCTCAGTTCTTCTTTTCTCAATTTCTCTCTCTCTACTTCTCCCACCCCTGTTTTTCCTCTCCCACTCTTATCCTACCTTCTCTGTTTTTTTTTGTTTTTGTTTTTGTTTATGTTTTTTGGTACTGGGAATTGAACCCAGGGGCACCTAACCAGCCACATCCCCAATCCTTTTTAAAAAATATTTTATTTAGAGACACATTATCTCTAAATTGTTGACGCTGGCTTTGAAGTTGAGATCCTCCTGCCTCAGCCTCCTGAGCTGCTGAGATTACAGGTGTGTGCTACCACGCCTGGCTAATAGAGCATTTTATGTGGTCCATTTTTCTCTCTTAGCATATCAATTAGACTTCTTTTAAAAATTTTCTCACTGGTTGTCCCAAAGTGTGCAATACACATTACAACTAATAATAGTCCTCTTTCAAAGAAGGTTATAAGCACCAGGCATGGTGGTACATGCCTGTAATTCCAGCAACTCAGGAGGCTAAAGCAGAAGGATCCCAAATTCAAGTCCAGCCTGGGCAATTTAGTGATTCCCTGTCCCAAAATAAAACATAGAAAAGGCAAATTTTAAAAAAGAAAAATTTGAAAGAAGCCAGGAAGAAAGGGGTAGGGCAATTTAATCTACAGAGGAACAAAGATAAGAATTACATTTGACTTCTCTTCAGAAACCATGCAAGCAAGAGAGTGTGGAGTAAAATATTTTAAGTATTCAAAGAATGTAGCTTAGTGGTAGAGCACCCCTGGGGTCAGTCTTCAGTATCAACTCTTATCCCTCTGCAAAAAAAAACCAAAAACAAACACTATAGTATTTCTAGGTAGTACAAGTACCTATAACAGAGTATTACCAATCCTCCTTTATCACACTTTCCAATAAACTATAATCACTGAATACGTTTTGCTATTATTTTGAGCAAATTTTTATCTGTTAGAGCAATTGGAAATAAGAAAAATAAAATTTATTATTTACCTTCATATTCCTTCTCTATTAATCTTCTTTATGTAGATCTGAGTTTCTGACATGTAGATTTTTCTTTTCTCTGAAGAATGACTTTTCATGTTTTCTTGTAGGATATGTCTACTTGAGACAAATTCCTTCAATTTTTCTTTGCCTTAGAAAGGCTTCCTTTTTAAAGATAACTTCATAGGACAAAGAATTCTGGATCAGTGTTTTTTTTTTTTTTTCTTTCAACACTGAAAATATTTCACTCCACTCTCTTATCTGCATGGTTTCTGAAGAAAAGTCAAATGTAATCATGATCTTTTCTGCTGTGTGGGTTGAGCTGTCCCACTCCTTTCCTTCTGGCTTCTATCAAGATTTTCTCTTTGTCTTTGATTTTCTTAAGTTTGAATATTACATAAATAGGTGTAGATTTGGGGGCATTTATCCAGCGTGGTATTCTTCAAACGTCCTGGATCTGTTTTGTTGTCTATCATTAATGTTGGGAAATTTTGCCATTATTCTTCTAATAGTTCTTGTTTGTTTTCTTTTCCTTCTGGTATTTCCATGACAAACATTGACACCTTTTCTTATTGTGCCACAGTTCTTAAATATTCTTTTCTTTTTAATTCATCTTTCTCTTGCATATCAGTTTTGGAAGCTTCTGTTGAGCACCTAAAGCTCATGATTCTTTCCTCAAGTGAATTCGGTCTATTGATGAGTTCATCAAAGGCATTCTTCATTTATGTCATAGTGTGTGTTTTTTTATTTCTAGCATTTCCATGAGTTTTTTTCCTTGGACTTCTCTGTGCTACAGTACTCATCTGTTCTTGCATATTGCCAATTTTTGAAAAAAAATTAGAACTCTTACCATATTAATCATGGTCATTTTAGATTTCCTACTCTGAGAATGTCAATACCTCTGCCATAGCTGAGTCTGGCTCTGGTGCTTGCTCTCTTCAGACTGCATTTTGCCTCTTCACATGCCTTGTCATTTTCTGTTGAAAGTAAGACATGATGTATTAGGTGAAAGGAACTGGGGTGGATTAGCCTTTAGTGTGAGGTTCATGTTCAGCTGGCCAATGATATGAACTTACTGTGTTGTTAGAGCTTGAAATTTCCTCTTTGCCCTTGTGTCTTGTTTCCTTGTTGTGTTTGGGTTTTCCTAAAGACTAAATAGTGCCTCAGCCTTGACATTCTTGAAATTGGTCCCTGTTAATGTGGTAGTGGGGGAACATATTGTAGTCCCATGATTAGATCTCAGTGTTTCATGAGCCTGAGTTGGGTATTTCCCCTTCCCAGTTTGTTTGGGCTTTGATAAAACCCTCCTCTGTTGGGCTCTTGTCAGATTGTCTCCCTAGAGGGCAGGCCTTGTAAAGAACAGCACACTCGGGGTATATTTCAAAATGATGACTCTAGTCGTCTCCTACCAGAAGCCAGAGGAGATTTTTCTCTGGTCTTCTCAGGAAAACATGGTAAAACTTCTAGAGATAAAACTCAAGGAAATTTGGGGGCTCCCCTAAGTCTGGACCCTTGAGACTTTTTTTTTTTTTTTAACTCTCAAGCTAGTCTGCAGTAAGCCTTGAGCAATTCATCAGTTCCAGCCTCACTGTTCCTACTGAGGCTGGTTCTAGCTGCAGGCTTCTGCTCCTGATGAGCTTTCTGTCTCTCTGGTTTTAGGGGCAGCAGATTGCCCTATTACCAAAATTTTTTGATGGATGCAAGGAGAATTGTTGATTTTCAGATTGTTTAGCCCTTTTTCTTGTGAGGATGGTCGTGATGACTGACCTCCTTACATGACAGTCCAAGGCCCTCAAAGTGTCTTCAGAGCATGAGCTTATCCTCGTTTTTATCATTAGAGGGAATTTCCTTATATTAGTGTGCAGGAAGTATCATCAACTGTGGTTCCACAGGCTCTTCTCAATATTTTGTCAATTCTTCTCCTCCTCCCCTCTTTATTATTGGATGGTTACCTATTTCAGATCACCATCACCTTAGAGCTGGGCACTAATTAGTATTTCTTTCTCCTGCCTGGCCACCTTCCCCCTATCCTCAGTGTAATCTTTCTAAGATGCAAACATAATTCCCCTGTCTGAATCCTTCATTGAGATGATTGGTAAAACCTCTGTTATTGGTCAACTAGAAGTCCTTTACTTAGCATGATGCATATATAAGGCCCTTTAGGTTCAGGCTTATCCATCTCAGCACGATTATCATTTTTGCCAGATGATTATTTGTTGTTGAGGGCTGTCCTGTGCATTGTGACAGTGTCCCCGGCCTCTACACACTTATGCTGATAGCACAGCTCCCCAGTTGTGGTAACTCAAATTTCTTTAGGTATTTTGTCAAATCAGCCTTATTTGAGAAGCGCTGATTTAGCCTTCTGAACATTTTATTTTTGTTTTTTGAAATATCTGATTATAATAAAACTTTAAAATTCTAGTTTCAGAGCATATATTTTTTAAAGTGTCATACCTGCTGCCTCCATAACACCTACCAACAACAGTACTTTGTAATCACCAATGACTGATTTGTTTTAGTGAGTGTCTATATTACATCTACTTGAATAATTTCTGCTTTTTAATGTAATCACTGAAAGCATAATGCCTAATAGAGATTCCCAGCCAATGTTTGTTGAATTAATAAAACTTAAATTCCATATTCACGTTTAATGTAGCATATACTGTGTTTTAAGTAATCTTAAAAGCGCCCTTAAATCTGAATTGGGTGTGTACAACTAACTAAATAAATTCTTATTGTGCTCTATTTTTGTATTTGATGCTTCTTAATTTTATGAGTTCTCTTAAAGAAAACACAGCTCATTTTCAGAAGAGTCCTAAATTTTGAAAACACAAATTACTCTGCTGGGGTTGTAGCTCAAAGGTAGAGCACTTGCCAAGCATGTGTGAGGCAGGGGGTTTGATCTCAATACCATAAATAAGTTAATTAATTAAATTAAGGCCCTGGTCTCTTCCTAAATGAGAAATTACTTGTGTATTTTGATTTGACCTTGGATCAAAAGATGAAAAGAAAAATGGAAAAATCTGTGTTCTTTCCCTTTCCAGAGTCAGATACTTAGGGTATGTGACTAAAATTCCTGACCTGAAAATAGTTACTATTTTAGCAACGTCTTCCTTATTATTTTTACTATAAAGCTAATATACACACCTGGGGAAAATATTCAACAGTACATGATGAAGTGAAGTGGTGATCTCCCCCTTTGCCCCATTATGATACAGGCTGCTATTCCCAACATCCCACTTTGATTCCTCTTAGTACTGTATCAGACCACAGCCCAGTTGTATTAGGGCAAAGGATAGGTGCTCAGAGACTAAAGAAAACATCAGGAGATGGTGTGCAAGAAAAAAGGTTTATTGGAAAATGCTTACAGGGAGGTCCAGTGACAACAGGATGGACAGACAGCACCTCTGTCCCTCTGGTGCTTTGCCAGAAAACAGTGCCTTCATCCCTGCTGGTATCTTTGTCCAGTAGTGACTAACTAGACAAGTAGCACCTATTGTCTCCAGAGTGTCCTCAGTTACCACAGGGAGAAGAACTTTATAAATTAGGCCACAGAAGCAGTGACATCATTAGTTTGCTTTGTTCCTTGTATGACCAGAGTTCCAAGGAACAGCTGTCCTGTCATGCATGCAAGAAAGCGGCTCCTACAAATAACCCCAGTTGCCCTAGTCGTAAAACACATGAGAAAGAAAGAGCTAGTAGTATCTCTAAAGATAGAATTTATCTGGACATTCTTACCAGGCCTGCTCTTATTATTCCCTTAACTAGGCTTAGTTCTTGGGAACAGAAAGGGGTATTTCAGGGACATAGTGTTTTATTGTTTTCCTTTTCTTCAAGATGACACATAATGGGACTGGGGCTGGGGCTCAGTGGTACAGCGCCTGCCTCGCACATGTGAGGCACTGGGTTCAATCCTCAACACCACATTAAAAAATAAACAAAGATATTGTGTCCAACTACAATTTCTAAAATAAAAGATGGCACATAATGGAATCCCACCATTAGCCATACTCATGACCACCTCACTGGAGTAAACTATCCTTTCTCAGGCTACCTCACAGGTAGGTATGGCCACCTGACCATTAAGCCAAGGGGATGTGAACACAGTGTGCAATATCCATTCAAGTCTTAAGAATGAAAATGCTTTCCAACCATTTCTCTTTTCTCTCTTCCTGTGGGAACACAGTTGTGGTGCTGGCTAGCAAGCTCCACCATAAAGATGGAGCATCTGAAGAATTATGGAACCTAAGTCTCTGAATGGCCTCAAGGACAGCTGCCTCACTCTGGACAGAGAAACAAATTTCAATCTTTTCTTTAATATTTACTTTTTAGTTATAGTGGATACAATACCTTTATTTTTATGTGGTGCTAAGGATCAAACCCATGCTAGGCAAGCAATGTATGTCTGAGCCACAACTGCAGCCTCCTAATCTTTGAGTCACTTTATTCTTATGCATTTTATTGTGCTACCATAAGAAAAACCTAAAGAATATGGCATTGATCAAGCAGTCAGTTTGTGGACATAAAGAAAGCATATAATTGCAACAAGAAAGGTGGAAACCTTTGTAATATTATGGCAAAACATTTGGTAAAACTATTACTTCTAGTAACTTAGAAGGCAGACCATGTGCCTACTGTGCCCGTGGCTCTATAAAGGAGGGATTTTAAAAAGGAGAAGGAGGAAGAAGATGAAGAAGGAGAAGTAAGAGGAAGAGGGCAGAAGAAAAAAGGAAGAAGGAAGGTTGATGAACATTGTGGGTGTGTTGCTCCTTGCAGTTTTTAGTAAGGCACCATGAGAAATACATCAGGCAAGAATGAACCAGTTTACAAAAAGAAATGTAAGAAAATACAGCTTAGCTAAGGGAGGCACATTCTCTGACTATCTTGCAATGCAATTGATGTAAAATCTAATAATTGGGCCCTCAAAGTTGGTAAAGCCAACTGCAGCTACACCCCATAAAGCAGAGCCTTTAGTTATTAAGACTTTTCATCTGGATGGTGGCCACTGTATGAAAAAGATCAAAGTAAAGATAATGCTATTCTGGCCTATTGTCTTTAAAATAGCCACTGTTAAAATTTAACAGTTGTGTTAATCATAGAAATGAATAAATAAAAAAGGAGAGTTAGCAGGATTAAATCTATGACCAGAAGAAATTTTTTGACATGGAGCTGACTGGAACTAAACTGAAAGCTTACAAAATTTTTGATGAAATAATATTCTTATCAAAACTACAAATCTGTGCTATGATTTAGATAAGAGGTGTCCCCCACAAAGCTCCTGCGTTAATGCAGGGATATTTGTAGGTGAAATGCTTAGACTGTGAGCTGTAATCTAACCAGTCCATCCTAGTTTGAAACTGAGTGGTAATTGTAGGCAGGTGGGGCATGGCTGGAGGAGGTGTTTATTAGGGTTTTCTAGAGGAACAGAATCAATAAGAAGTATGACTATACAAAGGGAATTTATTAGATTGGCTTACATGACCAGAAGCTAAATATGATCAACTAAATATTTGGCCTTTGGTGACTGAACTCAATCCCCAGCTCCTATCCCCAGAGATCAGGGAGTGGGGCTGAAAGTTTCAGTCCTCTACTCACACAGTTGGTTCCTCTGAGAATTATCATCCATTCTGAAGCTATTTAGCTCTACTGTTGGGAACAACCTTGGGGACTAAAACCAAATATTATTACTAAAGATGTTTTTATGACTTAGTTAAAGGGCTTGGGGAGCTTTGTGTCAAGAATCAGGAACAGAAACCAAATATTATGTTACAGTCCATCCTGTGGTTTCTGTCCATACCCCTTACAGTAAACATCATAAAAGTCAAAAGATATTGGCACCTTACTAGAATCCCATCCACTCATTAATTAGTCCATCATCATAACACTGAAAATTTCTCCCAGAGCAAGGCCACTCAGGTTGGCAGGCTTGCTTTCTCTCATCCAAGTACTAATGAGGCCGGACCCTACTTAGCTTCCCAGATCAGACAAGATTCGGCACTTTCAGGGTGGTGTGGCCATAGACGGCAGGCTTCCTTTCTATGTTGCAAGGTTTTAGAAGCAGGAGTATTCTTATCAGACTGATAATAGTACCCTCTTAGGTGTCTGGTATAGTTGAGCCATGAAACAATATTTTATCTTGCCTTCAGTCTCTCTTAGGGTGTTGATGTAACGTTGGATTTCCCTCATTAAGGAACCCATTCATTCACTCCTTTATTGTCAGCTAGTATTCCTCCTTTCCATTTATGTCCAAACTTTTCTACCTTTGGAAGACACATTAGGTTCAGGCAGTGGTATTAATCTAGCAAGTACCTCTGTACTTCAGGCAGTGATATTAATCTAGCAAGTATCTCTCCTCAGTCTCCTCCCATGCAGATAGAGTGAGGTTCCCTAGGTAAAGAAATAGTGGGTTATTTAAAACAGTACAGTTGCCCTCACTGACAACCCCAATTTTGACAGATGAGGTGAGGTGAAGGCAAAATCTGCTTCATCATGTCCTTAAAAATTCTGACGTGAAAATTTGAAAATAGAGTTAAAATTTCTTGTTTAGGAATCATCCTTGTTTCTGGCACTTAGAGTTGCAGACCTGGTCCTATGATCACCACATCAGGTGGGAAAAAGGCTTGAGGTGATGTAGGGAAGAAAGAAAAGACATGTAATTGTTGCATGAGAAGCCTCCCCACTCAGCAATAGTTGCACAGTTATTCAGGATCCACCACACTCCCTCTTGTCTGGATCTACCTTCCCCCCCATGCCTGCTTTCTGGGGCTACCTGCTATTTTCAATAGCTCGCAGGTATGACATGTTGCACAGTGGAGTCCCCACTGTGGATTCACTCCAACAGCTCCATTCCCATGGCTGCACTTGGCATTGCCCCACTGGGATCTCTGCAGGGACTAATTCTGCAGCAAACTTCTGACTGGTCTCCCAGGATTTCCTTTGAAATTTTGGTGGAAGCCATGACCCTCTAACTCTTGAATTCTGCACTCCTGCAAAATCTTGATGTGGTCACCACAGGCTGATGCCAGCATGAGCTGCAGCTGGCCTGCTTAAACCCCAGCTATAGCCAGGGAGAGCTTTGCAGGCTGGATGCAGGGAAACAAATTCTGAAATGAGGCCAAGAAGAGTGTTTCAGGGTTCTGTGAAACAGTTCTTCCCTAAAAATCTCTGGACCTATGATGAAAGGATTGACCTCAAAGATTTCTGAGATGCAAAGCAACTTTTTTTTCATGCTAATCTCTTAACCAAGTGATTAATCAATCACATCCTTACATGCATTTTTTCTCCCTCCTTCCCCAGCCAGGTTGCAAATTTTCCAGACCTTCTTCACTCTGCTTCTTTTTGCTCCTAAGTCTCATTGTGAATCTGACTAAACATGGTCAATAATACGCACACCTTAACCTGAATGTTTTGTTGTTTTGAAATTATTTCCATAAAATAAGCCAGTCTGTCACTTTAAAAATTGTACCTTCCACAGAGACTTTGGATATGGACTCAATACAGTGAACTTCTTTGCTACCTCATAACAATGTCCTTCCCTCCAATTTCCAATTAAATCCTCCTTTCTACTGGAGATGAATTCTCTAATTTCCTCATCTCATGACTGTTTACCAGAATCACGTGTAACCTTCCACTTGGCAGAATGCTAGGCTTTTCCTGGCCTGCTCCTCCAAACTCTTCCAGCCTCCGCCGATACTTCAACTCCAAAGCCACTTCCACATTTTCAGATACTCATTATTAGCAACAGT